AATCATCTTAGCAGTATATTTGCAAAATTAATTTCAAAAAGAAATTGTCCAATAATTGAGAAAAAAATTTCAGCTATGTGATGTTTAAAATATGTAAAGAAATATAATTGCATATGAAAAAATCAACTTAATTCATGTATGTACTTAAGAAAATGCATAACGACTCTTTCGCGATTTTTAACAAATATTATTTACAAAATTTTATTTCGACAAAACTGTTGCGTTATGGCGAATCATCTTAGTGCAATTATTGCAAAATCGTCGTTAGTCATGATGCCATTTTTGTGCAATATTTTCATAATTTGCCTAGTAGGGAACGAGTTTTCTAATAGATTCTTGGTCATGGAAAACGAATCCGGCGACGAAATTGACTTAGCACGTTAAATATTCGAGAAGTTTGAGATTAATTCTTACGAAAAAGAACTACTGCCGATTACATATAAATAAAGTCAGTAATATGAATATTACTATTATAGTCAGTAATATGAATATTACTGACAATGACATAAAAATATTATTAGGTATTACAGAAATCACTGAGAATATTACTGGCAATTACACAGAATGCCAGTAATTTTTTCGTACCACTGCCGCAATATATTACTGCCAGTAATTCTTTTTTGTAAGGGAATGTATCAAAATTGGCAGTTTTGGCTATATTTATCATTTTTTTGCGGCCAAACTAAATGTTTTTTTACAATTTTACTTACACCACATTAAAGTGCTATTTTTTATCTATAATGTGAATTTATGTTTATTACTGTACGATTTTTTTAATATACATAATTAACATTAAGTGTACATAATTAATATTAATGACATATGATTTTTTTAATATACATAATTAACATTAATTTTATTAATATTTAGGTTTCAAAAATGTGTTGAAAACAGTGTAATCAGTATATAGCAACAAAAAATTTGTTTGCGTTGTAAAAATATATTTTAAATTATATTTAATAATAATAACAAAAATTTTTATCTATTGTTGCAGGTACATTGTACTTCTATTCTTCTTTTTAAGAAAATAATAATTTACATAAATAATAAATGAAATGTGTAGGATAGCTTGAGAATAAATAGATAAAAATAATTATGTTAGTAAGAAACACAAGTGGTCTCGCGGACTGAGTGCAGGGGCTGCGAATATGGAGATCTCGAGTTCAAATCCCGCTCACATTAGGATTTTTTCAAGTTCGGTCCCTTTCAATGGAGTTCATCGGTTGATCAGCGAGCTGATTCAGGCCTCCAGAAATTAATTCTAGTGAAATCTCGAATTAATTCCTTTTCGACAAGGCCATATGCCATTGGGTTTTTTTTTTTTTTTAGTAAGTAATTCCACTTCCAAGTGAAATCTATTTTAAGCAATAGATCTGGTCTGCGTTTGGTAGCAATCTGTCGACGTTTCTGACGACAGATCTGCTCTGTATTTGCTAATGTTCTGTTGACAGTTTTGATAACAGATATGTTCTGTATTTGGCGATATTTTGGCGCCAACAGACGATGACCAAACCTGTTGTGGATTTGGTGCCTCACTTTGGCTTCGCTTTGCTAGTGGCAGATCTGTTACGATTTTGGTCTTGTTTTGGCATATTTACATGTAGGATAGATTCAATTGCCAAACCATATCCTACTGAGGACACAGCAGGCACTTTTGGCATTAAATTCCGCCGGCGATTTTTGACAAATCCACAACATCCCACAACCAAATTGTTTGCTGGGTATATATAAAATTTATACATAATAAGTAAGAATATGTATATTTTATCAATTATTGAGATATTTTATTAAATGTTTTATAATAATTTACGGATCTGAATATACGTATCGCACAACGTTCATGGACTTTTACACTTAACTGATGATGTTAAACAGTTTGGGACACTAGACAATTTTAGCGTTTTTCCGTTTGAAAACTTTATGAAAGAACTAAAGCTACGCAAATCGGAAAGGCTATTGGAACAGATAAGTAATCGTTATGGAGAAATGAGCTCGTGCGAAATACTATAGCAAAACGAGAAGAAACACATTGGCGTCAAAAAACGGCATTATAACGGATCGTTAATATCAGGATGTTATAGTCCGCAATTTTTTGAACATTTTCTTAATTATACGCTTACAATCAAATCTTTTGATAATGTTTGCTTAATAGATAAAGACATAGTTTGTTTGGAAAATATTGCAACAGCAAGCAACGGTGAATATGTCGTAAGCAGTAGGTCGTAAATTTGAAATTATAAGTGAACTCTACAATACTCCGTGTAGTTCCATAACTTTAAACATATATAAAGTTAGACAGTTATCTTGTTTACAAATCT